ACCTTCTCCTCTCTGTCAACGCTCTCTGGTTTCATTTAAAAGAGTCGATCATCAGATATTGTCTAAGATTAACCTTCAGGGTGGATATAGCTCACTCACACTGAGGACTTATCCACGTCATCATTTACCCAGAATGCTTTGTGTGTAAATATATTTTTAAAAATTTACAAAACTGAACATCCTACAGTATTTTTAGTCTTTATTTTACAGTTAAAATAAATGCTTATTAAAGTCTAATGTCACAACTAATTGGGGATCCCTTTAAATGAGAGCATTCATTCAGGAGTTAGTATTTTTCACTGCTGCATCTCTGCTCGTCATTAAATGTTTTGATCACAGAGCCTTTGTTTGCTGTGTTTGGATTAGAGTCACTCAGTGTTTGTTGCCTTGAAGCAGCAGGGAAACATTTGAGGTCAGCAGAAGATAAAAACCACCCACCAAGCTGAACTTGGTGCTTCCTATTAAATGCATTTACACACATTTTTTATCACTTCCAGACTCCTTTATGTAGCTCCTAATCCTGCTGACAAGCCAGCCTTGTAAAGACGTGACTGTAAATTGACGCAAGTAGAAAATCACTGTCGTCTGTTTTTCCAATTCACAGTATAACTGTAGAAAACGGTCTTTCTCTCAGGTAAAGTGCACCTGGAGGGCAACAGGACGGCCATTATTGGGAGACCAGTTACTCTGTCCTGCTGGTACAGCCTGGGTGAGCGGGTTCGCCAGGTGCTGTGGAGGAAGACTGCCGAGCAGGGTGACACCAGCGTAGTGGCCTCCTACACCAAACACAGCCGCCACACGGAGGAGCAGTTCAAAGGCCGAGTCAGTCTGAGCCCAACTCTGGGAGAAACCAAACTGACCTTCGACAAGGTCAGCATGGAGGACGAGGCCTGCTACACCTGTGAGTTTCACACATTCCCAGACGGCACCAGGAGCGCCGCCACCTGCCTCTCTGTTTACGGTGAGACCCCCTGCATCCCTCTGGATTTACTGTCACTGAGATGAAGTTTTTCAGCTTGTTTTGGCTGCTTCACTTTAAAAAAACATGGAAGTTACTGCTTATTTAGATTTTTACAAATATCTTTTTTATGTCTTTATCAAATTCATCAGCAGCAATGATGCAAAATTTATATTTGTGGCGGCTGGATGTAATTATGTTAAATTCTCAAAACAGATTTTTCTTTTAAAACTCGCGATCAAAACAGCTGCACTGCAAACCAATTCGAGCAAAAACAATCACATCAAGGAACAATAAAATCAGGTGTATTGCAAGAACAGCTGATTTTTGCACTGTAATCGTCTCATGATTGCAAAAAATTATCTGTGTTTGATCTGTTCTTAGTGATGCTGCCTGGACTTGATGTTTTTAGCACAAAGCTACAAGTCGCAAGAAGTTTTCCAAACTAAGCTCAGTAGTTGCTTTGATTTGACCGTCTGCTAAAGCAGTGATTCCCAACCAGGGGTACATGTTACAGTGGGTACATGGAAAAATTTCCCAGGTGTGTAAAAAAAAAAAAAAAAAACTAAATAAAAATAGGACTGAGATATGTAAGGCCCTATGATTTCCGCAATGCAGAAAATGTAAATGGAATCACGAAATTGACACAAAATGGAATCCTGTATAAAAGCAGAATCTCGCGGAATTTGCTCATTTTGGGTATTTGATGTATTTTGGACGCTTCTGCATCTGCACCTACCTGGTTTATTTATTTAATTACTTATTCACTTTCAAGGCAACATTTTTACCTTTATGTTTAATTTGAGTTGAAAAGAATAAAATGCCTGAGAGTTAAATGTTCTAGGGGGTTAAATAAATAAATTTTCATTTAATAATCAGTTGTTGTGCATTATAGTTTTGGAGAATCATCATTACGTTTGACAGAGGGGGTACTAGTGGTGTGACAAAATGGCTCAGGGGTAGACCGATACAGGTTTTTAAAAGGCCGATACCGATTTTTTTGACATCAGTCTAACCGAAACGCCGATGCGTACAGCCAATTTTTTTTGGCCGATTCTTGAAGCCGATACTGCTTTTTCTTCCTCCGTTAACATGATAAAAATAAGAATAACAAATGTTACACAAGTCTTAATTTAAAACAAAACAAAACCATTTATTAGCTAAGCCTTGTCTGATGCAGGCTGGATGAAGTGCTGCCACACAGGATTTCTTCTTTCAGCCCTTTTCTTAAAAAAATTAAAAATAAATAAATCCGTGATTTATTTTATCTAGTGCTAAATATTCTGTTTTTATTTGTATATTAATCAGATTAATATAATTTTTACATAAAATAAAATGACTATGTTTTAATATCCCAGCATTTTTGATGCAAAAACAGCAACAGGCCTAAATAAAACTGTCAGAGGAACACAAAGAAAGAAAAAGCAGAGACGCACATACATCTTGCTATTTTTGTGAGGACTTCACACACACAGCGCTCACAGCATCTCTGCCTCAGTCTGCGCCCGTTTTTTTACACTGGGCAAAAAAAATGAATTCAAACAAGCTGAGGTTAATTTTAGATCACAGTTTGAAATGTACACTGAAGAAAACCTGCATCATGACTTTTATACTGCGGTCAGAACAAACATGATATGAGCAGTGCCTGCCTGGTTCATATGATGGTGGACGGCTGCACTCGCTCTTGTGAACGTAACAGCGAGAACGGACCGAAAGCTTTTTTTATTTTAATCCAGCAATAGAGGTGTTCTTCTATGGTTCCTGTGAGCAGCTCCAGCATTTTTAAAAAGAAAAACAATGTGGACACGCTAATTACAGTGCGGTTTCAAACTGAAACTACTAAAAACATGGCGCTCCTGTCTGGAAAAGAAACAAACACAGCTGTTCTCTCTCCTCTCATATTCCGACACAGAGGGCAGAAACAGCTAAATTAGACAGTTAAAACACATTAAAAGTTCATAACTCACCCTTATTGTTGTTGCACTCAGTCTCACAACATTAGCAGCTGCTCTCTCCCCAATGGAGGGGGCGGCAAAATGTACTCGCGTGACCCAAAGAATGGATCAGCCGAACGGACGGACATATCGGCCGATACTGATACAAGGAAAAAACGCAAATATCGGCCAAAAATATCGGCCGGCCGATGTATCGGTCGACCCCTACTCAGGGGGTACACAAGTCTAAAGGTTGGGAACCACTGTGCTAAATAACCATCACCTTTTCACCTTCCAGTGGTCTTGACTCATAGTCCTTTAATCCATTACAACTTTACACAATTCTGGGATTATTATCCAAATGACAATCATACTCCAGATATGCTGGAGGATTGGAGGAAACGTGCTGGTTTATGTGCACAGCTCAGGAAAAATAACAAAAGAACAGGAAAGACTGAGGTGAAAGGTTCAGAAGTCAGTCATTAAACTACTGTTCTGAACTGCTTCGGTGCCCTCTGCAACACTTAACCTCGTCCTATTTTTCTTTCCACTGCAAACACAATGCGAGCCTCCTCACTGTCGGCCTCCAAGAAGTTGGAAGCAAACGTTAAAGAGGCGTGAGCGGCTTTTTGGCCTTCCTCTGCTGTGTGTTTGCAGTGATAATAGGGCAAGGGGAGAGGGAGAGTGGTGATTAATTTGGGATGGATCCCAGAGGAAGAGTGGCTCTCTGTTTCCCCACACACAAAAGCCACAGTGTGTGTCTGTGCATGTTTGTCCCTTTGCACTGCTACATAGGGTTTGCTCTTGTCTGAACTGGTGGAAACAAAGCTCCAGACACACACAAACACAAACAGGCAGTTGGTAAAAGCTGCCAAAGTTTGTCTGGCTTTTGTTTCCCGGCCAGCTAGCTGGAGTCAGACTTGTGTGTCCGTGTCGGATCGGAATGATTGACAAAGACGCACAAGTTGCTGCGAATTAAAGAATAGGTTTTATTTTTCCATTTCCATTATCTCAATTTTGTTTTCTCCAGTTTTACCCCAGCCGGAGGTGAGCCACGTGACGACATCCTCCGGAGTCACCGAAGCGAACTGCACAGCCCAGTCGCGGCCTGCGGCGTTCATCACGTGGGACACCGGCGGTGACAACCGCACGCTCGGACCGCCCATCTTATCTCTGTACGAACAGGGCGACGGCACCACGACGGTGACGAGCACAATGATCTTCCAATCAGGGGTGCTCAGCGAACAGTCGATCAAGTGCATCGTGCGACACCAGGGTTTGGAAAAACCCATCACACTCCCCCTCAACTCAGACGGTGAATAAAGTCCAGAGAACTCTGCAGAACCATGTGATCATGAAAACTTTGAAGCTGCAGGAGGAATGAGGCTATTGTTTTTTCCCATGTGGGTGCTTGTTTGTTAGCAAAATATCACATAAACCCCTGAACAAATATGAATTAAGCTTTCATCTCCACTTGATTAACTTGAGGGGAAAGCCTGGTTCAGAATGGCTGCCATAGCCAAGTGACCACTAAAATCAACCACAAAAATGGCTCCATCTCTGCTAATCCCACTGATACTGACTGGAAGTAGCTGAGACTGATCCCCAACACACATTCTGTCATTTGTCAACATAACGTGATTGTAGTCTAAAGCTCTGACATGATAGACAGTGGGCAATATGCATTCTTTTAAAGGGGCAATATCATGTAAAATCAACTTTTTTGAGTTTTATATCAAGTTATAATGTTATACTCTCATAAAAAACATGCCCAAAGCCTTGCTCTGACTCATTCATGCATGCTTGAGAAATCCTGCAGAGTTTTTAGGAAGCCATGCTGAGGAGCAAAACGACAGGTGGGGACCAGAAATGCCTTTTGGGACCAGAAACGCCCCTGGGACGTGTCTTTAAGCCGAACTTCCTCATGGCAGAGCTCCCTACCCCACACACCCCGCCCATGACTCCTGCAGGCTCTCAGTAACAGAGCAAACTGAAAGTGAAACTTAACTGTCTGCTGTTCTCAACACTACTTCTCACTCAATGAAGCTCATTTCAGATTCAAAATACCTTTTGACGAAATGTATTTTCAGATGCCAAGTAAACTGAGCGACCCCCCCCCCAACACACACACACACACACCCCGAAATGGACGGAACAAAAGCAGAAGCAGGTTCTTAAAGAGACAGAGGCCAATTTCAAGGCATTTAGAAGAGGAAGTGATGAGAAGATGGTTTTTTTTCTGTTTAAACAAAAAAAAACAGCATTTTAATAACAGCTAAAGGTGACATAGATACTTTAGTATGTTATAGTATTTAAATGTATGCCTGAGAAACATAATATTGGCCCTTTTAAAGAATGGAAGTCCTTTTAATTATGGCTGTTTTGATTTGGTCTGCGTACGGGAAGGGTTACTTCTGCATCATGTTTTGCCCACATGTCAGCCATTTTACACACATTTGAATTATTTTTAAACACAGTCTTGTGTGTTTCTTTTTACGCTGCAGTGCGTCCAGCCATGATTATCCTCATCTCTGTGTGCGGTGTGGCCGTGGTCCTCCTCCTGTGTCTGTGTGTGTGTCTCTGCAAGTCCTTCATCTGTACTGACGGTAAGTCTGTGGTTCGTTTCGCCACATTTACTTCTGTGTGCATCCAGAAAAACACATGAGCCAAGTTCCCCAGTAGTGTTAGTGGCAGCTGGACTCAGTGAGTTTAATTTCCCTGAGGTATTTGAGATGGTAAAGCTGGGAAAATGTTGGAGCTAATGATAAAAAAAAATCAAATCCTAAGTATGTATTCAGTTTTCCTGCAGCTGAGGAAAACGTGGGAGAAGAAAATTGAAACACTTGCGTTTGGAGCAGTTCCCTTACATTCCAGCAGAAGACGGAGTTTGTTCTGGGAAGCTCTCAAAAGGGCCTGAGTAAATATAGAAATTAGGCCACAACTGAAAGTACCACTAAACATTTTAAAATTATACAGTCACAACTTCTTTGAAACCTCAGGTATTTTTTTATTACTGGCTTCTGTCAGAGGAGAAGAGTATTGAGCTGATATGCAGTACTTTGTTTCGATTGTGGCCCGTTGTGTCAGCCAACTGTGAAGTGTTTGTCATCGTGACAGAGATGAAGTGTTCCCGTTGGGTTACATAAACCAAAACCAGTCTGGGATTATCCGAATTTAGAATAATCCAAGAGGTACAGTAGCAAGGCCAAAGCTTGGCTCATAAAATTTAATTTATGGGATTTCTTTTTTAAAGATCCTGTTTTAGATTTTGTTTTGTCACGAACAGCAACTTCCTTCAATTGTTCTTAGTATTTTAGTGGTTTGGTTTTGATGTTTTTTAAATTCAACTTTATTTTACTAGCACTGGATTACATTTCAAACCAGAAAAGGAATGGTACATTTTAGAGAATTTAATTTCACCTGGAGGGCTACAACACAATTATAGTTTAAGTAACCAAGTAGCATCCTGTTTAACACATTTTGGAGACACAAATCCTAACTGGTGTCCACTTTTTGTCCATTCAGTTTGGACTCATTCAATGCATAGCATAGCATCTTTAAATATTTGTATTTGAACAAAGTTTGATGGACTTTATTTGTACTTTATTCACACAACTACTTTTTAAGAACTCTTTTAAAATAATGGTGTAAGACATTAAAAGATAACAATGTATACAGAGAACTCTTTTCAATCAACCGTAGTAAATTATTTGTTCAGAACAAGAATATATTATGTCTGGCCTACAATGTTTTTTGTTACCATTTTAGAAGTTTTTCCTAGATATCATTTGTATTTATCTCTGTTATCCCTTGGCTCAGCTAGGTGCATAGAATGAAATCTTTCTTTATTAAGATGACATAATTGTTAAACTGTATATAGGAGGCCTCCTAACTGCTTCAGGGTAGCAATGGTTAGCATGCATTTTGACAGCCTGATGGATCTGTGTTAACTTCTGTGTTGTTTGCCGCAAGAAACAAACTCAAACAACCATTTTATGAAATAACTTTATTCTTTGAATCACATATTTCTGTTCCTTGTTATATACACACGTTTCCCCAACAACACGTGTTTGTGAATTTGTGAGTGCCCATTCGAGAGCAAGGCTATTTGGCGTTGTCAGAGTCTGTACGAATCCTTTATCACAAGGTTATACAAACCAGTTATTCTGTTTAGTCTGGCACTGCAACTCAGGCAGAACCATTTGGTTGAGCTGTATATCATCTAATTTTATTTTCTTTATTAGTTTATTTTTATAAGTATAAATCACTACAAAAACATTGATTTGTTTAATTCTTGAGTCATTATTTCAGAACATCCACTATTATTTTCCACTTTATTTATTTCATAGAGGTAATTTCCAAGTGACTGACCCTGTAAATGTGGGGGAAACGTGTTGTAAGAAGGGTTATGATAAAGTCTAAGATAATACATTTCTTACTGGTGAAATCAGTTTGTGGCATGACTATGGTGATGACAGCAGCAGAAAACAAATATGGGCATTACACTGAAGCATGACTTTGTGCTGGAAAGAGGAATTACAAAGGATGAACAGGATTCAAAAAAGGCTAGAATGACAAAAGTGGAGCACATTTAATGTTTAGGATTAATTTTATTATAAAAGAATCACAGGTATGGGTATCAGTAAGTCCAAAAGTTTCCTTTTTATTTTATTTCTTTAACTTAGTTTTTGAGTTCCTAACATAATTTCAAAGTTCTGCTTATGAAGGGAAAAATCTTGATTTACTGGTCTGTCTTTGTTCCAACCCTCTCCTATGGTCATGAGGCGTGGATCAAGACAGAAAGAACAAGAACCCAGATAGCCTAAATGAGCTTCCTCCGTAGAATGACCAGACTCAGCCTTAAAGGGATGGGGTGAGGAGCTCCTTCATTCGGGGGGAGCTCTGAGTAAAACTGTTGCTCCTCCACATCGAAAGGAGTCAGTTGAGGTGTTTTGGGCATCTGGTTAGGAGGCTTCCTTTTCGAGGTATTCCTTGCCAGACTCACTGGTAGGAGGCCCCTGGAGAAGACCCAGGACTCACTGGAGGGAGGGACTATGTATCCTCTCCAGCCTGGGAATGCTTTGGGGTTCTCCAGGATGAGCTGGAAAGTGACTGAGAAGAGGGATGTCTGGGTTTCTCTCTTGGACCTGTTGCCTCCCCAACATGATTAAGTGGTTAGAGATGAAGATGGAGAGAAGTTCTGGTTTTTAAAACTAAATGACATTAGTGCAGGGAACTAGACCTTTTTTATAGTTTTCAAAGTTTCACTAAACATCAAAGGGGCTTTCTCAGCACACTGACCACAGATTACTGTGGGCGTACACTACTTTCATTTGGCATCCTGTGGCTCATAAAGGTGAAATGCATTTTTTTCAGTTGAGCATATTAGAAAACTTAGTTTTTTTTTTTTTCATGACGATTTTTGTACTCACTGTTATTGGTGAAAACTTGTGATGTGATTTTTAGGGACATGTGGATAGACTGATTATAGATTTTATAGAAGTAGCTTGTGTGGAAGGATTATAGTACTATCATACTGAATTAAATGTTCTGGTGAAGGTCATCTCACAGCTACCTCCCACCCTCAGCTGGCAAAGTACCTACATGTGTCATAAACACCCTTGATTCCTGGTAACACCTTTCCTCTCTGGCGTCATGCTGATAGTGTTATGTCGGCAGTGTACCACTGCCCACTTCTCTTTCATTGTAAATCTTGTGCACACAGAGAAAACAGGCAGGGGATAAAAATCTTGGCACATAAGCGTTGGCTGAAGCTGATGTCACGTCGGCCAAACTGAAGTCACAGAGAAAAACAAAGAAGAGATGTCGCTGTCAGGATGACATAATGACAGCTCTTAATTAGTCAAAGTATTTCATCATTATTAGAAACTGATTAATGATTAGTTTCCTTTTCCTTCAGATGATTTAAAGGGCAGGCAGGACTTGCTCACATTTTCCCCTTTTTCTTAAAGAAACTCATCAGCACACCGCCTTTTATTCTTATTTCTCCAACTGTCCCTCAGATAACTAAGGTTTCAGTAATGCTGATAATTTCTAAACTTTTATTTTCATCCCAGAAACTCCACTGTGTTGCCTTCGGCCAAAGAATTCAGGGTTGCATATTTTAAGATGAACTAAATAAAAATAGATGAATAGAGGAATGCTACTCTTTCTTGAGACTTTTCCACATGTCTTGGAGTTTTCTTGTTTTCCAACTCTCTGGATCCTGAGCAGAATATTAAGTGGACGTGTTGATTGTCTGGAGTTAACAGCCAGAAGAAAGACCCTCTCTTTCAGTCTAATCCCTCAGACTGAGGAAGGGCCTGGATGGGGAGCAGTGACGAGTCTGATGTTGAATTCCTGCCCATTTGATAACAAGGCCCCGCTCTCTGTACAAACAGAGACGCTGTATTTCCCAGTGTGGAGAGCCTGGGATGTGCTGGGAACACAGGCGTTTACTGTGATGTGACACAGATTGTCCATCAGAAGCAGTCTGTCTGTAGTTGGACCTCTTGTTGTAGGCTAATAACATTAGCCAGACAACAGGAGCTTATAGGGATTATTTCTGGTTTAATATCCATAACTATATATGTGTGGATGCAGCTTCTAATTATTATTTATTATTTAGAATAAAGCTGTTCAGTACTGTATATAAAATATTTAGAGCAGTACTGAACAGTACAGGCTCCGGAGGAATTATTGTGAGTTTTCTGTGCCTTATTTTGTTCTGTGTGTTTTAGATTAGGTGAAGCTCTGACTTTGTCGAACCAAATAGCAGCTGAGTGATTTGGTCCTGGTTTGGATTTAATTTGCTTTTAAAATCCAGCTATTGTTTTTCTTTGTTTTGTCTGTGAATGTTGAATGGTTTTATTTTGCAGCTGTTCTGTCTTGTTTTGTCCTTCATACTTATTATACTGCTCTAAGTTTTCAAGCAGAATGGTGCAAAACCTCAGCATTGTGGGACCTTCAGAGACACATTGTGTAAAGTTGAATTGTTGTAGGTATTTAAGTGTGTTTGGCTCAAGCTGTCAAGCTGATTGTTCACAGCCAACTGACCATAAAAACTGTACACAGAAATGACCCGAACTCAGTCAGTTGTACAGATACTGAGATAAAATTTGGTGTGTTAGCAGCTGAGATTCATCCATCCATCCAAGCATTCATCGTCTTTAACTTCTGAAGCTTTGCAGGTCATGGTGGAGCTACCTTCAACAGTCCCTGTGAGAGGTGGGGTACATCCTGAACAGGAACACGTAGAAACAAACAACTCCTGCTCTCACCCCTAGAGATAATTCAGTTACCAGTGAACCTAACATGCATGTTTTGAGTCTGTTTGAGGAAACTGCGTTACTTGGCTTTTCTGTATCTCAAGCAGTTTTAGCCTCACAAGCACTTCAAGCTTTTTTTTGCACACGACAGTGTCATGTTTGTGTTTCTGCTAAGAAGAGTGTAGACACTGGTGAGTCACTTTTAGTCTTCCTCTGTCACTTTTCAAATCTTTGACAGAAGTATTTTTTTACAAATGCTTAACAAAACTCTGCAGCTAAAGTGTTACAGCTAGATGAAGGCTGCTGTTTATTTTTTGAGCTGATATTATTCTTAGAAAAAAGTTTAGTTGTAATAAAGTATTTTTATACCTTTTTAAAACAAAGCAGTTTTTATTCAAAGATGGTAAACGTATCTTTTTGTTCTTAAAAAATTACTTAAAAAATTAATTTGTTCATATAGAGACACAATATGAGGAAAATCTGTTGTCTCATATCCTTTTAGTATGATTTTGGACTTGAAGCTAAAATACAAAACATAATTGTTAGGCTGAAGTCCACCCAGATATAAATAGTTGATGCAGTTTACTTCATTGTTTATTACCACATCATGAAAGTGGTTCACACAGATCTTTGTGTCTGCAGACAGAATAAAAATCCTCCCATGTGTCACAGTGAGCTACAAATAAAGCTTTATCTGTTGTTAAAAAACACTTCAGTTGTGTTACATGGTTGTGATGTGTGCAGCTGAATCTGAGCCTCTGGTTGCTTCAGCCTCAGCTTTGAGGAACGGGCAGGGCCAGGAGATCTTGTCTATTTGTGGCTGTAAATCTCCATCAGGTCACACCAAAGTTGGAAAGAAAGACAGACCGCAAAAACTGTGTGGCCAGGATGCTGACTGATGACAGACTGATGCTTTAAAAACAGTAAATTTGGACTTGAAGAAATGTTTGTGCTGGCTGCTTTGAATGTGCAGCACAGCAGGAAGTGAAGGGTTGGAACCACATCCTGTTCAGATCTCACTGAAAGCTCAGACCTTGAATCCAGAGAGCAGAACTTGGCTGCTCCCGACAGATTAGATGAAGGAAACGGTAGCAAAGGAGAACTTCCTGAAGTGTTGACGGCGACACCTGCTGGTCACTGCACAGAAACAATCCTGTTTTCAGAGGTTTTCACAGTAAAATGAACTCATCGTTCTTGCTCTAGTTGGCTTTCAGGTTACATGAGTCGATTAAGTTTTAAATTTAATTTATGCAACGTGAGCAGCCAGCTGTGGCACCTATTTTATTATACCTCTGGAATTTGTGTAATGTCTTACTTTGGTCATGTGGTCTCTTTTAAATGGTAATGGGTGTGAGTTTGTCTTTATTCACTTCTCTCATATCTTGCATTTTTACATCAAAAATTCTTTGTTCTCTGCAAAATCTCTAGAATCTGTACAGAAACTTTTATTTCTTCTCGTTTAAAATGACACTAAATAATGAACCAGCAAACATCTGTGCAATGTTTTAATCCCTGCCCTGTAACTTTTGTTGGTCAGCTTGTGCAACTCTGTGGCTCAAAGTTAAATTCAGCTTTGATGGATTATCTTTTAAATTTCCTTCTCGTTGTTCAGTTTCCCTCACAGTGAAGTGAAACAGCTGTGGTAACTTCTCCTCTAGTTCCTCTGTCACCTAAAACACGCTGAACTTTGCGGTCACATCTGGAATGTTGCTCCTGTCTACATATTTATACACACTTCAGTAAAAAAAAATGTATTTCAGGGCTGAAACATGGTCATAACTTCACTACATTTATCTGAATGCTTTACTTTTTGATTGCTTTTCAAAGGGATATAGTGATGTTTGGTTAAAGACTGAAAATATCAGACTGTTAAAAGTACAAATTATCTACTACATTATAGCTGTTTTTACGTTGTTTATGTAGCTAAAATGTAAAACAAGCGAAAATGGGAAATATTTCATGTTGGAGTACACCCTCCTAAAGTGAGCTAAATCTCTAACCCTTCACTCGTCTGGAGCCACTGTATCACAGCACAGCTTAAAAAAAACAACTAAATYATATTTATAAAACTGGAAGTCTAACAATATTTGGCGCCAGTGGAATTATGACTCTAAACCTAAATTATATTTTCATCAGTTTTTATTATGTTTTATAACTGATTACACAAATGTTCACTTTTTATTTATATTTTTATTGCAACTCCATTCCCATTGTCTACCCCTTTATCTGAAGTTGTGTAGAGACAGTGAGTCAGAAGTTACAGAATCCCTTTTATTTTGATCCAATATAATAGCCTTCTAGATGGGGGCTATGTTCTGGACATAGTCTAAAGCAGGAGCTCTCAGGCCATTTGGGTCTGAGGACCCCTTACAAGGATGAAGAAAATTTCAGGGACCCCCTCATAAACCCTATGCTGTTTTAAAGTATAATTTATTGTAATTTCAACCCCTAAATGTCATGGAAATATATATTTTTATTAAGTTTTTAATGTTTGTTTTATTAGTTCATTGTTCTCCATGCATTTTTAAAAATAAAAACCAAATGAACAATTTAGTAAATTTTTCTGAGGACACCCAAGATACCTCTCGCAGACCCCTGGGGGTCCTGGGACCCCAGTTTGAGAACCTCTGGTCTAAAAGACCCCCCCCACACACACACACACACACACACACACACACCTTTTACTTGCTGGGGTTTTCAGATATTTCATCTTGTCTTTTCTTTTGGAAATAAAAGGGTGTCCTGTGATTTTTGACTCGGCTGTATAATTCCTCCTGTGAGCTCTGGGTCTGCCTCAGTGTGAATTTAATATATTTCAAAATGAACTTCAGAGCCCCTGGAGGTTGTTTTTGTCCATTACTGGCTTTTTGTAATTTAGAGATCTTTGTGATAAATTTGTTTACTCAACTTTTTATAGTGAATAAATAAAATATAGAAACAGGTGACAGAGAAAAAATAATCTTGAATTGCAGACCTCTTTATCTGAGAAGCACAGGAGGTCCTCAAGTCCACCATTTAACCCTCAAAGATCAGTTTTAATGCCAGGTCTGAACTGAACCAGAGCCTTCGGTTCTGGGTGTTTTTAGGGAGGCGTCCAGTCAGGAAAGAGTGTCCCACCCTGAAAGGACAAGGTGGGAATGTGTGATTCAGTTAAAATAAATAAATAAATAAAAAGAAAATGAAAGGTTGAGGAAGGTTTTTGGTGGCAGGCAGACATACCTAACTTTATCTCTCTTTGTTTTCTGTCCAGACTAATATTTGACGTCACCGCTGCTTTGATGAAGCTCCAGCAGAGTTCTGAGCTCGACCCGGCTGCTCAGCACTGTGCCCTTCAGCTCGGGGTGCACAGGAAGCTGCTGGTTCTGTTCCCACGAGCTGGAAACACGCAGACCTAAAAACRCTACAATGTAAAAAGAGCTAAAACTCTATTATTTAATGCTAGTAAATAGACTGTAGAGCTGTTGAAATCCTTCTGATAGGAGGACTTCARATGTAGTCTGTGCCATCATAATGGACTCAGATATACAGTAAATATATATATATATTGTGTGTAAATTTTGTTTATCAGCAATTTGCTCACAGATCTTTAAAATCTTTTGATGTTTTTTTTTTTCTTTTGTATATCTTGAATTTCCAACTTGAATGAAAAGTGCAATGTTGAAAAACTGGCTGTTTTATTTTTTATAGCAAGAAAAAGCAAATAATCTCACTGATAACACATTTAATTTGAAGTTTTGATCAGTGCGCTCATAACAAAAGCTAGTGTGCAAAATGAAACGAATAAAAACGTCTAAAATCAGTTCCTGTTTTCGAGTTGTTACGCCAACATGGTTCCCTCAACTGAAAACTCTGTTGAATAAAGTCGTAGGATGGTTTTTAAACTTTAAAAACAGAATCTGTTTRAGACCAGAGTTTAACCTTTCACTTTGTTAAATGGTCTCTTGGTGAGTCATTCCTTAAGGAGAAYGGAAGGTTTTTACCGTGTGGGACAGACGGGTGGTCCACCTGTCTGTGGTTAACACCGCCCAATGTTTCCTGAGCAGACAGACCTGGCAGCTGTGAATCACTGTTTCTGCAGGAGTTAGACTGAAGGCGTTTGTTTTGAAGGAATTGAGTATAAGGTGTGTGTGTGTGTGTGTGTGTGAAACTGCATTCTGACTTACAGAGCAGATTTATTGTTTTATTAGGTGAAAGTGTTTTATAAGCTTTGAGTTTCTGTACAAAACTGATATTGTTTGGAAAACTAAGTCTGTTAAAGTTATGGTTTTATTATTAGCTCTTTTCTGTATGTAGTGAGATATGTTGGACTTTATATTAATAAATAACGTTTTTATAAATGAACTTGAACTGAGTTTCATTGAATTATTTGTTCATTTTTTGGAGATTTTGAGAAATACTTTTAGTATTAGTATTATTAGCAGTACTAAATATTTTTCCTTTTTAAACTTGTGTCAACACTCAATACACCCAAGTTCTGCTCTCTTTTTCTCACTCACACACACACACATCCTTGTAACCGCATCAAACTGATTACTTTGTATTGACTTCCATTTATTTTTGTAACTATTTATGCCTAACCAAGACATTTTCCATAAAACTAACCATTACTGGTCTATTTCTAACCCTAACCTGAACCTAAACTTAATTCACACCGTGCCTCTAAACCTAACAAAAAGACAGTAGAGCTGCAAACAAAGTGAGGACATTGAAGAGGTCCTCACTTTGATGTTTGTAACTATGGTACAAATGTTCGTAGAAACACACACACACACAAGATCTATTGTGTTGAGGTATGGGGAAAAGCATATAAGACTGTTACAGATCCTATTTTTATTTTGCAAAAAAGGGCCATCAGAGTCATCACTCGAAAAAATTATCTTTATCCCTCTAATATATTATGTTGTAAACTGAAATTAATGAAATTCTATGATTTTATTGATTATTATTCTGTTAGTTATGTATAAAGCACACTGAAATGCATTTCCTTTTAAATGTTCAGATAAATTTTACAAAGACAGAGAGCTGTTATAATTAAGGGAAAAGAGATGTTCATGAAACCTAAAATTAGAACATTTTTGAAAGAACAACCTCAAGTCAGGGAGTCAGATTGTGGAATAATTTAGAAGACGATGTTAAAAGTGCCACATCAATATGCATATTTAAGAGAATGATAAAGACTGGACTGTTAAAAAAATATGAAATGGTTTAATATGCAGACATTCACTTTGTTGTTCTAGAAAGTTTCAATGTTTTGTTGTGTTTTGTTTTAACTGAAGATCCTTATTGTTTGAATATTTAAGAAAAAAGGGGCAGATAAGATTTTTTCTTCTCCCTGCCACCTTTCATTTCATTTTATTTGTATTTTCTTTTTTATTGTACAT